CTGGGCCTGGGCCTGGGACGGGGCCGGGGCCTGGGCCTGGGCCTGGGCCTGGGCCTTTGCGGGGAGGGGCGCGGCTCCTTCTTCCGGTTTTTCAGTGTATTTCTGGCAAGGTCGCGATTTTTCTCGGCTTTATTGAAAGATCTTGTTCGCAGCCTTTCCCTGGGAAGGATTTAGCCAGACTGAAAAGTGGGGTTGTGAGATAGGAAATCTGCCCCGCGTTCAAGATAGACAAAGAGATCTCTCTTTCCAGGCCATGGGTTACTGCTCCTAGTGTTGGCTAAATTATACCTAAGTACTAAAACCTCTTGAACTGACAACGCAACTGACGCTTTGCTGGTACTTTTTACAGGGGACACCGCAAAAGGATGTTATAATAAAATCCGATGCCCCAAGCACATTGCTTTCGGAGAAACATGCGGACTATATAGCTTCGTATGGAACAAAGAAAGATGATTATGTAGGTATCTATTTGTTTCAGTACAGCTGGGGTTTTATTAACAGTAATAGTAACAAGCCTTAATTACTTGCTCAGAGTAAGGGTTAGATGCGTGCTCACAAGCTACTTGTTTCTTGGCCCGCAATCCAAAGTATAAAAGAAGGATGTCTTTGTTAATTTCCCCAGGTCTGTGATGAGTTTTGGCATGTATTATCTGAGTATAAATTTGAAGATTATCTGTTTAACTCTAGAATTACTCTGAGACCTGGGTGATGAACTACTTGTTGCTTCTTCATCCACTGGAATTCAGAAGGAGTATAGCTGCGTTTACATGTTGCTCTTTTGATGGGACAGCATACTGAATCTCGCCACAGCGCTGCTTCGTGCTTAGTAGGTTTGATAAACACTTCAAGTAGCAGCAGTTTTATAGTCATAGGTTATCAGATGTAGCCCACAATAGGATTCCAGTTCCAGCAGGTGAAAAAATGTCAATAACTGCTTATATCTGAAGAAAGGAAAAGTTGCAGTTATGTTTACTGTCCACAAAAGAACTCTAAGCTCTGCTGCTTATGACTGATTGTGCTTAAAAAGCACTGCATGTAGAAAGTAATGTTTATGGGTAGAGTAGGTGATGTAATCAATGTAAGAGAATTCAATATGAGATTTCACTTCCTGGTCCAGCTTTAGATTGTGGCAGTTTTGGCACTTGGAAGTGAGTTTCATTGAATGTTACACTCGTTATTTTTGAGACTAGTTGGGGTGGTAATTTGGTAGTTTGGATGCCAAGATAATAACTGATGAGCTGAAGTGAATTGGTGCCTAACTACTGGTATGTGTTTAATTTGACATTGAGCTTGATACTTCAGAACTAGAAAATGCAGGGGAGGAAAGTAGTGTGTGTAGATATATACATGTGCATGCACCTGTATGTATGCATGTGTACGTACACGCATGATGTACAGAATATTTGTGAGTGGCTGATGCATAGTAAGTTGTTAATGGGATGAAAGATGGTTGACATTACAGACTGTTTGTAAATGTTAACTAACGTATTTTCATTGCTCTATATTGATGATGTGCTTATCTGATTAAGAACTAAAATAATGCACTACTTAGGAATACTGTATGTCGGAGTATTTGAGGATGAGTGGTGTTTACTGGGGGCTGACAGCAATGGATCTCATGGGGCAGCTGCACCGAATGAACAAAGAAGAAATTCTGGCATTCATCAAATCATGCCAACATGAATGTGGTGGAATAAGTGCCAGCATAGGTCATGATCCTCATCTTCTGTATACCCTCAGTGCTGTCCAGGTAAATGTAACAGGGTAATTTTAGAAAAAAAACATTTGTAATTAATGATTTTGATGATTGCAGATTTACAAACCAGGTACTATCGGATGCCAGTGGCAAAAACTATTTCAGTACCTTATTAAAAAAAACAAACAACAAACTAATGGACAAAACTTTAGGATTTAGCTGTATAATTTCCTAAAAAATGGTCATGTTTGGGAATGTTGTGCTTTTAATGGTCATTTAACGGTGACTGCATTCTTGGTAAATTTTGTAACAGTTGTCTTGAAATACTTCTTCGCTACAGGTTTTACTGGAGTTTTTTGTAGATAATTTTGGATTTTATAAATTCTTCTTAGTGTACATTGAGGTGAAAGATATGTATGACCAGAATAAGAGTAAAGTTTTGGATTTTATTTTTTAATGTATGTATTACTCTGTTATATATTATTGCTATATATTATACAATATTAATAATTATGTGATGTTTATATAAACTATATATTTACATAATATGTATAATTACGTGTAGTGCATTTACACTTTAGTACTGTACAAAAGAAACACTGTAGTAGCCAGTTCCTGTTGTGTTCCTCAAATCTGCTTTCTTTGTGTATAACTTAAACATGATACCAATCTGTTGAGCATTTTATTTATTTATTTGGTGTGTATTCTTCCCCTGAGAAAAAGTAATTCTCAGTCTTATTTTTTCACCATAACTATCTCCATTATAGATTTAATGTCTCACTATCTCTTGTGTCGTGTCCCGTCCCCCCCCCATGCAAACCATCACGGAAAAAAATACTGAAGAGGATCAAATATTTCTGAACAATTGCTTGATTGCTTGCATACTGTACCTCTAGGCCAGTCTTATGGAAGAAATACTTAAATGGTGTTACAAATAAGTAAGATAGCATCCTGTTTTAGGAAGAAAGTGTGTTGGATTTGAAACCCTTAGGTAGGACAGAAGAATGCTGTTTTCTTGGGTCAGTGATGAGTGTTGGCATGTATTATCTAAAGTTGATATTTATCACCACTTTAGCTCTAGAATTACTGTGTGTACTCTGACAACCAGGAAGCTAAAGTTTCTTTAGGCTATGATGTTTGAACTCTTCCAAACTGTCCAATCAAGCTCCTTTCACAAATTCTAATCCACTATAAGGAGAAGGGGGTAAACAATTTGAGGTTGTTTACTTTTACATATTAGAGATCTTAGTTCTTAAGTAAATACTTGATGCTACTAGGAGATATTTTCATGTTAACTGAATGCAGCTCTAGATATGCGAAGTTGAAAAGTGTTAGCAAGTGCTGATACAAAATTTTTGGGGTAAACTTAACCAGCATGTCTTAATGAGCATGCATGTTCTTAGTGAACAAACACCATTTAATCCTGTCTACATATCCAGAATGTTTAAAGGGTCATGTCACATCTTCCTTTGATATTAATTAATAGTAATGTGTTCAGATTTGGTTTTTAAGGAGCATGCTATGATTATGTATCTTCTGTTGGAGTTACACGTTCTTTTTTACATTTCCCTAAGACTTAAATTTTATCTAGCAGTTGAAAGATTCCAGCTAACTTTAGGTGTTCAAACCCATAGTTGTTGGTATTTTTCAGGATTGGCACTAGAATATTGTTTAGTTTCAACTGTTCTTTCTATTATGCTATTTATGATAAAATCTTAATTACTGTCTTTACAGATTATGCAAGTTATGAGTAAAAACACGAAGCCAGCTGGGGCTTAGAAACAGTATTGTTGTTTTAACATGACATTGTGTCATGGGTTTACTGGCTCAAATCAGTGCTAGCTCAGAAAACTTCGTATTCCCTACTATGACCTTTATTTTTCTTCTGGAATATATTGACTGTACAGTTTGTGTCTAATCATATTGTTCATACTTTTCTTTAAATTATTGCAATTTGGTTCTACTCATTATATTTAAAAATTGAATGTAAATAAAAATCTTATAATTCAAAACTAATCATTGCTGACAGGCATGGACTGTAAGTGGTATTAGTAACTAGCTGCTTAACTTACACTTGCGCCTATCCAAGTAGCAGCAGTGCACAAACTACAGATTTGTGAGTCTAAGATGTCATTATCCCATTAAAAAAATAACCATAATCAAATCTCTGTTCTACATAATGCTAACATAGAAACAAATAAACCTGATTATGCTTTTGAAAGGAGAGCTGGAAGTTGGAAAGTAACAAAGCATGAAAGAGTTCAGCCTGACTCTATTTTCATTTCAGAATTTCTTCAGAAAAACTTCAGAAGTTTTTAGACAGAGAGAGAGGAACTGTAGTGAATGAAATTTTATTGTAATAAACCTTACCAAATAGTATTCACAGTCAAATAAAGTCTTTTATAAATTTAGGAATTTTTTTTTAAAGAAATGACTTTTTAAAATTTTTGCCTCTCTGATTGTTACTGTGTCTTTTTTTTCCAGATTCTTATCTTATATGATAGTCTCCATGTTGTTGATGTAAATAAAATTGTTGAATATATACAGAGCTTGCAAAAAGAAGATGGATCATTTGCTGGAGACAAATGGGGTAATTTTTAGATCTTTAAAATTTAGTGACTAGGTTGACATGTGTAAGTCTGTGAACTTAAGTTTCCTTGGATGGGCTTTTTGCTTATGTATTGTATGGAAAACTTTTATTTCCTGAGTTATGAAAAATGAGGTTTCGTGAAGGACAGTGTTGTGTTTCGTTCCTTTCATAAATATTCTAAACTTCAGTTCCATTCTTGTATTAAAAATAAATTGTCCATCTCTTAAAGAAGAAAACCTTTGCGCATTTGTAACTTGGCAGTACTTTGATATACTAGATGTACTATTCCATAAGGAATGTTTTATGCTTGCTATCTAATGGTAGTCAGTTATGATCTTTATCTGTGTCGGCTGTCAAAGGATCTTTCACTATATAGGAATGAGAAAAACTGGTTTTATACTCATGAACTTCTGTTAATACTGATTTTGTTTCTGCACATAAACTCTTTACGAACAAAGATGGTATTTTTAAGTTGTAGCATAAATATTTAGTCACTCTAAAAATGCTTATCCCCATGGAACGCTTACATTTTTTTATTAAAATCTATTGCATATAACTCATTATTGTTCTGGTAAAATTCAGCAATCAAGATCATGGCAGTATACGTATGCTACTGTAAAGGTAGCTGTTACGCTGTGTGTTAAAACGGTTCGTAGTTTGATGTATCCTTTTTGATAAAGGATTGAAACAAACATACTGAATGCACAATGGATTTATGTTATTTCTGAAAGGCAGTTGCAGTGCAACTGAAGGAGTGTGATACCTGATGTAGTATATAGAACAGCATGTGTTTGTTTTATATGCTTCAGCTTGTGGATTTCTTGCATCAGTTTGACCAAAAAAATGAGTATTTGCGGCTGGGTTCAATTTTAAATTTTGACTTCAAGTATTAAGTGCTCAGAGTTTGTGCTAGGAGAGTTATATTAGTATGGACTTGCCGAACAGTCATTCTGGTATAGGTGTAACGTTTTTGGTTTAGCTTCCAGGTATAAGTATGCAAAAGAAAACATGCAATTTTCATCACTCTTCCTCTAAAAACAAAAATGGCTTCTACTTCTGACCGGATTTAAGGCAGATCAAGAGTTGTGTCCAAGTATTTGAGTCCACTGCTCTGCAGTTATCTAGTAGAGCACTACAGATAAACTCTAAAATTATATAGTTATTTGTAAATTACCACTAGTTGAATTGATTTGGATATATATCTGGCTATGTACCAGCTCAAAATGAGTTGTTCGCTTTTACGTGCAGTAAATGGATCACTTGAGTTGTAATGTACACTTTCTAAATTACTGAGGAAATAATCCATGGGCTGGAAAAGGAAACAGCGCGAGGGCAGTTTCTGGCTGATTTTTGTTGATGAATGTAGAACGTAGTGTTTTAACATTTTGTTCCATAGTTTCAGTGGTGATTTAAATGTATTTTTGTTGTTGTTAATAAAAATACTCTTACTTCATTTCCTACCCCCCACATTCTAGGAGAAATAGATACAAGGTTCTCCTTCTGCGCTGCAGCAACTCTTGCACTTCTGGTAAGTCCTAAATCATTACTTGCGCAAGTACAGAATCTTCTCTTTGGTACTGCTGAAGTTTCTGTAGTTAATGAGCTTGGTAGAATATAAAATGCATTAGTTACTTTTCTGACTTGCAGGGAAAGCTGGATGCTGTTGATGTGGGGAAAGCAGTAGAATTCGTTTTGTCCTGTATGAACTTTGATGGAGGATTTGGTTGTAGACCAGGTTCCGAATCACATGCAGGACAGGTGAGTTTTTCTTTATATGGAAATGTTGTAAATTAGCAAGCATCACATACTGCCTATAAATGTTTCTTTACAACATCTGTCAGGGATGTCAATTGATGTAGCTTTCCTGTTTCCCAGATGCCTGATTCTAGTACCGTAGTTAAAATAAATGAACAAATAGGTAGATAAATCTGAGAAGATGAGTAGAGACTCTGGAGGTTATAGTCTGGGGAAAAAAAAAAAAGATCGTAAGGGAGCAACTTTTAGGACTGTGTTTCAATCTTCACATAGTGATGTTGGAGTCGTTAGCATGAGGATTTTTAGGGAATTTGAAATGGGTATTAATGGAGACGTTGGACAAGATCTGTCACTGTGTCTGACACAAATCATAATGAAACACAGAGGTCAATCATATAATATGTTTGATATTTATCAGTTGATGAACTCAAATAAAAATGAGACATAAACCTTCTCGAGGGGAGGGTTGCTTAATTTTTTGAGGAAAGTCCATTTTAAGATGAGATGCCTAACTCAGGCATGGGAACATTTATAACATTTTGTTGTGGCACGAAAGAATATTTTACTAGTGACAGTGAATTCTGAAAAATGCTCAGTAAAATCTAGTTCAGAAGAGAAGGCAGTAATGTAATTGGAACAAATTTCAGGATCTCTCAAGGAAGAGAATCTCAATGACTTCTTCCAGCAGAAAATTTACATTAAAACTGCCCTTCCTATTTTTATTTTTTTCATGGAAGGGATTATTGCACTTAACCTGAATTTATGAATAGAAATCAACTTTTAATAAAATATTTTAATGCTGTGCAATCACTTATTTATTTTGCATAATTATGGTGAGCAATGCCATCGCCTCAGCACATGAAAATACTAGAGGTATTTTGTTGAGAAAATGTGTTGGTTTTTCTCCCTCTGCCCCCCCTTCTTTTTTTTTAAATCAGGAAAAATATATAAACCTGGTACATGTACCTTATCTTACGAGTTTTATCTACAGTAGCATTGCCCGTATGGTCTAAATGGCAGGACCATGTTCTAGCGTTCAAGGAAGTCAGATGAAGTAGCTGAACTCACTCTGTTTGCAGCTGGCGTTTCCTGGGAGGATTAGATCTGTTGTGCATATTCACATACGCCTTAAAATGCTGTAAAGGGCAACTTCTTTGCCCGCACAGTAGTTCAAAAGTTTGCTGGAAATACCACATTTATTTTGCAGTATTCTTGGATAGGGAAATCCCTGTTGATGTGTGCTTTTGTTGGCTTTTGGGGGGTTTTTTGTTGGCTTTTTGGGGGTGTGTTTTATTAGCAAAAGGCGATTATGAGCAGGCTTCAGTTGAAATTGTGGTTTCTTGCAGTTTGTGCTTGGCTACTTTCTTAGTGACTGCATCAGGGATTAATCAATGCACATATATTACATGACACATTGAAAATAAGCCTGACGTGACTATATGTATGTGGGATTGCCAGGATGGTTAAATGATCAGGGTTAACCTGTTTCTGCTAGAGAATTTATTTGGTCTTTAGTTTGCTCTCCACAAGCCTTAGAGTAAGAGGCACGTAGAGGAACAAACCGTAGGCTGGATGTAAAATTCTCATAAAGGCCATATCCAGCCTGCAGAAATCAGTTTGAGTACTCTGGCTTGAGAGTCTGTGTTTTTACAATAAAACTGTATGGTTCTGCCTGATCTTTCAGGATCTTTTTCCAAACCTTGCATTAGTGTCTTATATTAGTAAAATCTTACTGTTCTATAATTACATTGTGTAACTGGTACTTTTATACAAAAGCAACTGTAACAATAACATATGTTTCTAATGGAAAGCTAAAACTCATTTGAAACTAAGTTGAAATGTGTGCTTATTTTGTATTGTGTTTGCATGACTGTATTCCTACTTTGAGATCTTCCTGCATTTAGTCTGCTAAACTGTACTTAGTTTTTAAATACACAAAAAATTTATGTCTGTAATTTTAGATCTATTGTTGCACAGGATTTCTGGCTATAACAGACCAGTTACATCAAATAAATGTTGACTTGCTGGGTTGGTGGCTTTGTGAACGTCAGTTACCTTCTGGAGGTCTCAACGGACGACCAGAAAAGGTATTAGGTGGCTTCTTTTGTTTGTTCAAACCTCAATAGAGATTATTTTTTCTAAAGCTGTAGTACTTCTCGAAAATGTCATGACTTCTGTGAAATACTTGGTAAACTTTTCAAAAAAATCAGGCCTTCATTTTGATTCTTCATTTTGTCACTAACATTTGTCATGCAGTCCTTAGCTACGCTTAGTCTGAGTCCTCAGTTTAGGAAAGTACACGTACTGAAGTATGTCTTGCTGACCACTTGAACGAGTATCCTATTAAATCAGGGCTTGAATATTTTCTGACATTGGGTATGATGTCTTCTGTAGGATTTGTACAAAGATTACTGTTTTACTGGATGTAAATCCTGGGTGTGATAGTGTTCCACATCACAGAAGGAAATTGCATAACCTAGAATAACCTCCACAGGCAAATAGATAACCAACCAACAGATTTTTTTTTTTCCCCCCCAAAAAAATTGAAACTAGTTGATATGAAGTTCTTTGTACTTATTCCTGAAAAAGGTGCTGTGTTTTTTTTTAGCCTCTCCCACAGAAGGTGAAGGCTGGTTCAAAATCACATTCTTGTGGTTTTGTTTCTTGAAGAAGGGAAGAGGTTTGAAAAAGAGACTTTCCCTTCCTGAAAAAGGGAGGTCCTCTGAAAAGAGACTGACTTCTATTTTACCCCAGAGAAACTCTTTAAGTGTTTTCTCTGCAACAGTATTATGACAGCACACCTAGTAATTTGCAGAATCACCAATAAAATTTGCAACGTCATGTTTAAAACAAAATCAAATAATAATCTGCTTTTCTGCTTGCCAGTTACCTGATGTATGTTACTCATGGTGGGTGCTAGCATCTTTGAAGATGATTGGTAGGTTGCATTGGATTGACAGAGAGAAACTGCGCTGCTTCATTTTGGCTTGCCAGGATGAGGAGACGGGAGGATTTGCTGACAGACCAGGAGATATGGTAAATAATCCTTTACTAAATAAAACGTACTTAATTGAAAATTTCAACTGAAAAAGTAAGTTTTCTCTTTTGAGTGTAGCTCGACTCGTGATCCAGGTGTAAGTGTTTTGCAGAGCCTGGAGTTTACTTTGAAGGAAAAGGATAGGGTAGAGTTGCTTTCGAAGGCTTAATTGGGGAGCACAGATTTTATATTGCACTTGCACTGTAGTATCCCCCACTAAAGTTAGTTGCCATTCCTTACAAATTCTGGTTTGGTTCCCATAAGACATACGACACAAATAATTTCTCACAAGACCACTTGGAAGGTCTCTGTAAAAGTACTGTGTGTGGTGGCAGGTGTTTTGGGATGTGTGGGTTTTTGGGGAGTTTGTTCTGTTTTGTAAAATGGTATGCAAGCTAGAGTCCGGCACAGGTTAAGTAGTCTTCAACTCTCGTGGTGGCTTTGCCTGATCTAAATGAGTCATAAGTTTTTATTAAGAATCCTTATATGCTAACTTTTGTTCTGTGCCAGCCCAGCCACTGAATAAATCCTCTCACTGGCATTTGTCTAGCTTAAGGAGGAAGAAACTTTTGTGGTAACATTATGAAGAGGCTGGTGGTTTGGATTTTCTGCTTGGTTGAGAGAGCAATTATGGTTTAGCTCATCTGTTCTCTCTGGTTTCAAGCAGAAATAATTGAGATTGTCCAGGTAAAATGGCAGATGAAGTTTGTATCTTTCTAAAATTAAAAGTATTATGAGACCTCAGCGCAATTCCTATAGAACACTTGGCTGCTTATTTGTCAACAGTTGGGGGAAGCCTTAGTTATTTTTATTGCAGCTGACCATGTCTTTTTCCTTTCTCCACAAATGCATTAAAAACTGAAGTAGCTTTCTATTTCTCTGCAAGCTGATAGACTATTCCCACTTGGGGGAGGGGGAGAAATATCTTTACTGTGGTCTGTGATTTGGAAAGTGTTTTGGTGTTCTTAAAATGGGAGGGTTATTTGTATTGTAAGGAGCTCACAGAAACACTTTTTCGCTTTTCAGAATTCTCCAAAAAGCCTAACACTTAAAAGTCTTAATGCTTTTTGACTTTGAGATTAAACTTGAGCTATTTCGGTCTTGCTAGAAGAGCAACTTTGCAGAGCCTTTCCTCTGTATCTAAGCAGGCACCTTTGGGAGAGTTTTTGCATATATGTTAGTAGTCATTTCATATTATTTTTACCTGTCATCCATTATTGAAGTAGGCACTGCCATAGAAATGCCTACAGGTTTTTGCTTTGCCCCTGCAGAAACTCATTCCTAGCAGAGCCTGTTGGTTTTTGCCTTTTTTTTTGTGTGTGTGTGTGTTTTTTTTGTTGTTGTTTAGTTTGGGTATGTCTGTTTGTTTGTTTTGGGGTGGTTTTTTTTCTGTTTGTTTGGTGGTTGTTGTTGGGGGGTTGGGGTTTTTTGTTTTGCTTTTAGTCAGTTCTGGGTTCTAGCATTTTGATTTGACATTGTGATTGTATTTCAGGTTTTGAACCATTTGGCAATAAGACAGCTCTGTTATCTTCTTTTATGTTCCAGGCAGCTAGTTCTCGATAACTTAACTTAGTAGCTGTGCTTATTAGCTCTTAGTTGTAATTCAGCAGGTGTTTCCTTTTTAATTTGCTTTAAAGAAAATTGCAGAAAGGATCAGACAACTAGCAATAGATAAGTCTTCTAGAAATCTGTGTTTCCCTGAACATATGTTCATCAAGAGGTTGAATCTGTACCTTCATTTGCACACTTCCCATTGGGGACCATCTCCCCTTCTGGGCCTGTCCATTTGTACAAGGAAATTCTGTCTTGCCATTCCTAAAGTGTACTGTTTATTATTATTATTTTGCTACCTACTTATTTATTTTACCTCTCCTCTAATGGCCACCTACTCATTCTGGCAAGGAGCAAGTAAACATATGTCTGAGCTTTGACCACACCTGTAGTGTGTTTGCCAAACCATTGAGGAGGAAGACTTGCTATGCTAGTGTAGTTTGAACCTTCTAGGCTGTGATCAATGGTTGGAGATCCTGTATATGGCTATAACGTGGTAATTCAGCTTAGTTTACTGCAGTATAGGACCTTGTGATAAGATCAGAAGTTCCACTGATGCAAACAGGGTGTACGATGCACCAGACAGCACAGGTACTTTTGGATAGGATTTTGTAGAATGGCTAATTAGCTCCACTGACAGGATGGTTATCTCATGAGACTTTATAGTCTATTGCAGTTATGTGGTGACACATGCTTTTAGGGAAGGTTCATACAGTGAAGGAGTACTTGGATACTAAATAACTGCTCCTGTCTCTTCTGGGTGTTTTCTTCCTTGTACTTTTTCCTTTCAGTTTTCTAGCACAAGGTTGCTGCTTCCCTCTCAAGATTTTACAGCACAGCTCTCTATTCAGAGACCATTAAAGAGCATTGTAATGTTGCTGAAGAGCAAGTGGGGAATTTATGGAAGTGGTACTTATAGATGATCAAATTTACTTTTTAAATTTTTATTGTCTTTGCTTCTGCTACCCTATGACATTGTGTGCTAATGGAGACACATGGGTGCTTCCTGCCACATTCAGAGTTGAAAATCATCTTAGCAGCAGACAATCAACAAGCATCTCCGAGTAAATCATAGTATTGCAAATGCACGCTGTGGAAATTGTCTGGCCTGTCAATACGTCAGCACAAATGAAAGTTTGTTCAGTTCCTTGTCTTCTCCAGCTGTGGAGATTTGCAGTTCTCTTGCTAGCAGACAAAAGCTTCATTCCATACAAATGAAAAGCTGATTGACTTCTGGAAACTGACACAAACTTTCTTTCTTCTGCCAGGTGGATCCATTTCACACCTTATTTGGAATTGCTGGACTATCTTTATTAGGAGAAGAACAAATTAAGGCCGTCAATCCTGTCTTTTGTATGCCAGAAGATGTCCTTCGAAGAATAAATGTACAGCCTGAGCTTGTGAGCTAAGCCTCGTAGAGACAAAAGGTTGATATGCCTGGTTGCTTTGATTTTACTGATTTAAGTCATCTCATCTCTGAAACTGTTAGCATATTCTTCTTTGAGATGTGTTTACATTATGAAAGTAAAGCAATAGCTTTACTGTGGGCTTTGTCACTTTGTAAACTGTATCAGAACAGGCTGGTTCTAATAATATGAGTGTAACATTCTTTGGTTGTATATATGAGATGTAGAAACATTTCTAATCTGTATCTAAATATATGGGCCTTTGCTTTTTTTTTTTTTGACTGTTCAAGTCAAAGCAATAGTGTGAATGCTTAATTTTTGTATTCCTGTGATATCAGCCATGCTAGCGTCTGTCTTTACACAAGCATGTTTTGATGGTGGATCACACAAAGCACTTTAAAAGAATATGAAAAAAAAAAAACAACCCCCAAACAAAACCCTACTTAAGCCATGAACTTAATGCCAGACACTGGTGTATTTAATTCTTCCTGTTCGTCTTTGCCATCACTTTTATATACTGAGAAACAAGGTTTTTCTTCTGATAGTAATTGATAACAGTGAAAACAAAAAATATGGTTCCATTAAGTATATAAATGTCTTCATTTATTGATGAATCCCTTAGACAAAATTTTGGTGATATTTGAAATAGAGCATACCTCGAGTATGTATAGTGAAACTTGCTAACATTAAGCCTTCTGGAGAAGGTCTCTATAGGACAGTAACTTGTAACTGAATATAGAGTTGAACCTAAATTTGTTGCTGGGTTGAAATCCTGCTTTCATAGCTTTTAAGACAATAATTGCCAACATTTGATTATGGTGTAATTGAGAATAAAACTAGCTGTGGAAAATACTTGTTCTCTGAAGGATGAAGCCCTCTTTGTCTTCACAGAAACCCTAAAATTGCCTCTTAATTTCCATTTCACACACCCTGGCTGAGACTGAATTGTATTCCAGTTGAAATATACAGTAAAAGGTAATCATTAAGGGGAGGAAGTCTTTGATAATCTTTGTACTTATGGTTAAGGAAGGTCTAAAGTTGTTTCAAATACAGTTTTAAAAGCCAGCTGGTTAGTTTTATCCAGCCTATGCATGTTAGTAGAGAGTAAGGTAAAACTGGACAAAGTAACTTTTTGGTAGACCTTTACTTTTAGAGAATTTCAGAGTGAAAACGTGTATTTGAATGGTCAAATATTTCTAATGAGTTTTTTTAAGCCTTCTCTACAGGCTTTTAGATAAGGTGAAAACCCTACTCTTTTTAGCTGTCCAGTTGCTTGATGAATTCTTTGGTCAAAGCCTGGAATTATTTATTTTTCAAGGTTTGGAAAATAGTTACAGTAGGCTTTGTGTTGAGTACAAGGGAATGAGAGCACTGATCAGGTTTTATCTAACTCTAAAGTTTAACAGAAAATTTTAAAATAATTTTTTTCTTACTCTAGGTTACCTTTGCAAGTGCCACTTCTTTTCATCTAAGGAAACACTGTTCAGTACATAGGAATTTGCCGTTTTTTCCATGTGTAGACAAAATAGAATCCTCTTCAGAATTTCTAGTCTAGTATAGACTGAGACACCCTGGGAATTAATATGTGGGTGATACTGCATGACAGTGTAGAACATTTCACTGTAGTTGAAGTCCTATTAATATTGGAGTTTTGCTCTGAAGGTCTGGTCAACTTCATTTGCTAAGTCTGCTGTGATTTGTAGACATCTTACAGGATTATAGGTTAAAAAAGGCGTGAGTATGTGCACAAACTAAAAACTTCTTAAGAATATTCTTCCATTCCTTACATCAGTTTTTTAAAATACTGTATTTGTAGAAAGAGGCTCATCACAATTTTTCTTATGCAAACAAAATCACATTTTCGGTTAAATGTACTGTGAAAAAAATTAGTTGCCCAGTGTGTCTTACGTCTAGATTTACGTCATTTTGGTGCAGAATACATTGTTACCATCTACCTCTATTTTGTTAAAAGTACTGATAAGATTTTTTTCTGAGCTTATGTAGTTAGAAACTTTGCATTAATTAATCTGCTGTTCTCAGTCTTCAGCTACAAGTCCTTTATTAAAGGCTTAAAGAAATTTGTACTTTCATAACTCTTTTTCCCCATGGAAATCTTTATATGGAAAGATCCTGACATTATCTAAGTACTTGATCTTAAGTATTGTAGTGTAGCTAACATTCCCAGCAATAAATTTTGCAAGATGCTGTATGAGAATTTGCAAAAGAATAATGAATATTTCAGGTACATAAAATTGTGTATCTGTAGATATGTTTATTAAAAGGAAATTGGGGGCGGGGGGGGGAGGATCAACAGCCATTCTATTACCTTCTAAGAACATGGTCAAGTCCAGAAGTGTGTGCTTTATTCCAAAGATGCTTCCTTTCAGTTTTGTTGAGACAGCTTGGTTTGGCAACTTCAGCCTTATGATTTGTGACCGTAAGAAAGGAAGGAAGGTGGAAGATGGACATTCCTTTTGTTTCTGCTTTTCTTGCCATACACTTGGATTTCTGTCAGAGAAGAGGAGAAGGTCTAACACCAGCTTCCGGAGTCTGAATGCATATGGAAAGTTCAGTGTAGGACTTGAAATTCAGGACAGTGGCAGTAACTGGAACTGGCACCTGCTGTCTTCCATCCTTTGCTCTGCAGTGGAACTGAAGTTTCTGATGCTCAGATTTTTAAAGCTATCTGACTGATGATGTGCTGAGCGAGGACATGCCTGTTCCGAACTAGGAGGTTGGAGCAATGCCTTTCAGATGTCAGCTGAGGAGCTGCAACTGATAGAACTTCTATTGTGAAGCTGAGTAGCCATCAAACTGCTACTGTCCACGAGGAGTTCTGGCCTGTAAGGGCTGGCTTCAGTGTGGAGTGTTTTTAATGCAGGTGTATTAAGTTCCAGAGACAAAATGTTGTCTAGTCAAAATGTTAATTGAAACAGTTTTGGTGGGGTATATTACATGCTAATACACAAAGCAGTGTTAAGTCTTCTAAAACATGCATAGAAGCACATATATTTAAGAGAATTCTAGCTGTAAACAAGCTTTGTGTTTTTTATGGGGATCTTCTGGTATCTAAATCTTGAGCAGGGGGAAGACATCTGTGAAGCTCCTGCTAAAATGGTCTCTGAATGTTGAACGAATGTGTGACAAATTATGTTTAACTGCTTTACTCCTGTTTTAAAGAGCATAGCAGACCCTTTCTTTGCATTCCTGTTACCCCGTCTGTAATTGCGTATTTATAATGAAACTTGTTGCATGCCTAGCAGCTGTATTTACTATTGTATCATTTATAGCTGTACTAGTAACTGCAGCTTTACAGGTTTGTTTCTTTCTGTAAACCACAGCCCCATGTCGGGCGGGGGGCGGT